GAATCTAAATATAGATATGCTTAAATTTTTGTGCATGCATAATTGATAATAGTGGAAAGGTGAAACATAAACAGTTTATACGGAGTAATACATAAAGGGAGTATAAATAAATATTTCCTTTTGTAATTGTATTGTCTTAGGTAGGCCTCCTAATAATTATTTTTCTTATCTTTTTAAGAGGTAAAAATAAAAGGTAATTTTTTTGAAAAATAAAATATTTCATCCGTTTTTCATATTTGTAACACTTCTCTAAAATGAAAATATCACAATACTTGCAACACACTATAACTGGAATTTTTTTTTGTTAAAACTGCATTATTACCTTTACTTATACACATGGCCACAAAATTATATTCCAAATAATCTCCCACTCTCATTTTAAGTGTACTAGCATGGTGCCCGCGCGATGCACGGTTTATAAATTAAACTATTAATTCCATAGGAAAAAAAATAAAGATACTTCAATTAGTAATCAGTTGTGAAAAAGATATACTTGTACATATATTTTTGAAATTAAATAAACAATAATAGCACATTCATTCCACTATTTCAGTGCCTTTTTTGTGTGGCCGGGTTACTTATAGGGGTTACTTATTCATGGGTTAATTATATAGGGGTTACTTATTTAGGGGTTACTCAATCGATCAAGGGGTTACTTATTCTGGGGTTACTTGGGATCGGTTAACGCGTTTTCGCCAAGGTTACTTATTTCGGGGTTACTTACTCTAATACACAATTGGTCAGGGGTTACTTATTCTAAATTTACTCAGTCCATTATCGCATTTTCTGTGTGGAAGTAACCCCTGACCGACCGAGTAACCCTTGAATAAGTAAACCCCGACAAAACGAATAACCCTAGAATAAGTAACCCCTATAAGTAACCTCGGCCATACGACCAACCACATATAAAAATTTGTGCATTTATATATATATAAACTATGAAAAATATTTATCATATTGGAAATATAATCAATTATTTGGAATCAATCAATGTCTATAAAATATATATTAAAATCAATGTAATTTATATAATATATTGATTACACACGGAATAATATAGATATAAATAATAATTTATACAATAAAAGATATGGAAAATATGTGAATCACAAATAATTTATATTTTTTTTAAGGAAAGTGAATCACAAGTATGTGATTTGATGAATATATATAAAGAATAATTTAAAATAAGTAGTTGAAAGAAAAAAAAAATTGATTTTGGAGGGAAAAAATAGCACCAAGACGTGACACATGTTATTCCTGCTGTCTATTTTAGTATTATATTATTAATTAAATCTTGTTAGACCCAATATATCTTAAATACCCTGAAAAATCACAAATTTTCATATGTGGTCGGCCACACCGTGTGGCCAACCATTATGAGGGTTACTTTGTCAATGCTATAGGGATTACTCACTCGATCAGGGGTTACTTGGTCGGTTAGGGGTTATTCGGTCGGTTAGGGTTTACTCAGTGAGGGGTTTCTCACTCGGTTAGGGGTTACTAAGTCAGTCAGGGGTTACTCACTCGATCAGAGATTACTAAGTCGGTCAGGGGTTACTCATAGGTTAAGGGTTACTTGGTGTGTGTAAGCTGGCCACACGATGTAGCCAGTCGCACACAAAAGTTGCTGTTGAAAAATTGTTTATTGCAAGTATTGAAAAACATAGGACGTAAAAAGTAATTTGCGGGTCCAGGCTCCAGAACCAAATCTAGGAAATTTGGTAATACTTATGCCCAATTGTCCTTCAAAACAGTTAAGCCTACCAACAAAGTACATATAAGCCCAAATTAAGTTGTCATATTTACGTTGCATCAGAGAAGCCCAAAGCCCAATAAAAAGTGTTGAATAGTTAAACTCCTTAATAAAGGGTGCTCAACGTCATCATAAAACTCCATTTCCCTTAAAAGACAAGTATATGCTTGTAAGTTGTACCAAATTTAACCGATTTGGCTTTAACTCACACCAATTTGGTTTGAACTCATTTCATATACTCCTCGAATAGACAAATGTCACCCTAAAATTTCAAACTTCGAATTGGTAAATGTCATCCTAAAATAGGAAAATTTACAAGGGAATTTTGTTGAAACGGAGAACATATACATTAGGAGTGATGGAAATTAAATTTTGGCCGGGATGTTAAAGTGATACTCCCTCCATGTTTTAATAAGTGTTACACTTATCATATGCGGTCGTGTTTTAATAAATGTTACACTTTATTTATTGGCAAAAAGCTACAATTTATATTATATCTCTCTCCTCTCATGGTCCCCACCTAAACCCACTATTACTTTTTTTATAAAATCTTTGCTCTCACATTCATTAATTTTCAATAAATTATTAACCCCACTATCTTTCTTTTATAATTTTTTAATACTCCAACTACCCCACTTACCTCTTATTTTATTTAAGTCAATTAATTACTTAAAAATATGTGCCGGTCAAAGTGTAACACTTATTAAAACACGGAGGGAGCGAGTATGTAGAGTTTTCATTGCATTATAACAATTAAAACTTTTAGCAAGGATAAAATTTAGATCAATAAGGAGTTTTGTTTATTTACTAAAGAAAATGGGTTACATTTATAATTAGAATTATATCTATTTTTATTAGAATATTTAATATATGTTGAATATATATATATATATATATATATATATATAGCGCTTAGGGATACATATAAGAAGCTTATAAAAAAAATTGAAATATAGCATTAGCTACACTGATTTATGTGTGATTTTATCATGTATTTCTATATTAATGCCAAATTAGAAAATTAGGCGTTAAGCAATAAAACAATGTACATAATTTGATCTGTGGGACGGCTCGGGTAAGTCCCCTTGGATCTGTCCATGGTGAACGGACCTTAGTTGTCCCATCTATTCTTTTTATGTTTGTTTTAATTTGAAATATTTCATTTGCTTATATATTAAAGCCTTATCATACATTGATATATAATAATATATAAAAGTTTATATTATGTGAAATTTTGTTGGATTCATCTCAACTTATCATTTTTATAATTTCTAATTTAAGATATTGATGCGCATAGATATAAAATTAATTAAAACAATTAAAAAGTTAGATATTGTAGGACAAACATCAAAAACTGTATTTAAGGACTTGTAGGGAGTGATGCGGGTCGTGAATACTGATAGAGTTATGAAAACTGTATTTAAGGACTTGTAGGGAGTAATGCGGGTCGTGAATACTGATAGAGTTATGAGAAAGAGAATGTTGGAAAGCTTAATTATATTGATAGATGTACACGAGTATGTATAGTACAAGATTAGAACATTGAACATACCAAACTATGACTAGATACAATATATGACTAGGTACGTTAGCTAATTATAAGGGATATACTTAGACTATCAAAATCTAATTATTATATATAAATAAAGTAGGCATTTTTGGAGAGCATTCGGAGCGCCACGTAACAAATATACTTATTTCGACCAATAAGAAGAAAGATTTGTATTTTATTTTTGATTTAAAAAATTATGTCGCCACCTAGATAAAAGTAACGAATTAGATTTGATACATCTAATATTTTAATGCCACGTAGATTATAATCCACGAATTAAATTAATTTAATGAAAAAATATAAAGTAAAAATATAGGAAAAGATAAATTTATTAGTTCAATACTATGAGTATAAGAAATCCAAAAAAAAAATATACTAAAATATATTTAAATGATATACAATAAATCAAATAATTAAAAATCTTAGGTGTTCGTTAATTATAATTAAATTAAAATTTGTGATACCTACCATTATAAATTGACACATCATACAACACAAACAAAATTTCGTACCAATAAAAAACCCCATCAAGCGAATTTTGTGTTAGTAATTTTGTGTTAATTTTTGGTCATCAATGGCCGGGTAATTTTTAGCTTAATTTTCTTAAAATGCTATATTTAAATTAGTATTTCTAATTATTACTTACATTGTATTATTTTGGGATACTCAACGATTATATGTTTATGTTTTATTTACTAAATGTTTTTTTACATGCGGATCTAACACATCATACGACACAAATAAAATTTCGTATCAATACAAAACCCCATCAAGCGAATTTTGTGTTATAATTTTGTGTTAGTTTTAGGTCATCAATGTCCAGGTAATTTTTAAAATCTTATGTTTAAATTTATATTTGTAATTATTAGTTACATTGTATTCATTTAAGATACTTAACGATTATTTGTTTATGTAATGGCATACGATTAAATGTTGTATACTTAATATATGGATGACTTTGGGCTTATATTTGGAGATGATGAAAAAATTTCAATGCATAGATTTGATTTTATATCGCAATAATTTTTCATTTATTGGTAAATATATTGATTTATTTTATATGAATGTAAAGATTTAATTTATATCAATTTCAGTTTGGCTAATATTTCACGGTTCAATTTATCCATTGATGTAGTAGGTTTGTTGTGGACGAGGTTGGTGATTCTATCGAAATAAAAGATATTGTAAAACAATAAATAATAATTTAGGATTTAAATTATTAAAAATTTATCATTTCACATTAAAGATTTTATATAATGGAAAAAATATCATATGTACAATTTATTTATATTTAATAAATTCATTATAAATTATAGTAAAAAAAAAAAATTAAACTTTTGTAATTTGGTCTGAAATTATTAAATACAATAAATCAAATAATTAAAAATCTTAGATGAAAAAACCGTGCATCGCACGGGCTTCTATCTAATTAAGGAGTAAATCAAGGAATTTACATATTCTAAACAATAACTAATAATGATAATGATAATATAATTATCTTTATTCTTTATAAATACAAAGATAAAACTCGCATTCTACTTGTGTAGCTGAACTATATAACCGGACTCAATTTTTGTCCTCCGTTTGAGCGTGTGCCTAAGGAATGATAACGAAATTAAATTTCAGTTATACTTTCTCCTAAATAACAAGTCAACTTCATAAACTTCATTACTCGTAAATAAGTGCGCCATAAATAAACCTTTTCCAATTCACAAACGTAATAATTAAATTCAAGATTATAAATACAAGATTTATTATATATACAACATTTTTGAGAGATCATCAAGCTATAATAGCTAGGTATTATGTATCATTTCTTCCCAAGAATCTCTCCAACTCAAGTTTCTTTGATAGAATATAAGAATCTTATTATATAATATTTCTCCTCTTCCTTTATATTCCATTAATATTTTATTTTTTTTGTTGAACTCTTTTTAGTCTTCATTGATCTTATAGTTATAATTTCTCTCTTTCTTTTTCTTCAAAACCAAAATTAATCATGAAAAATCAAAACCAAGAACAACAAAAACCTCTTTTTCTACCACTACCAAACAAATTAGTACACAATTTCATGAACATCATTCCATACATTCTTATTTTTGGTTGTGGCATAATTATTGGTACGTCTTTTTCTCCTAGTAACATATTTCCGGTAGATATTGGTAATCTTTTTGTCACCGTTAAAGTCTTTAACACCACAAGGGATTCTTTACTACCACGGCCACCACCACCGCCCCCGGGATTAGAAGTAGAGCGAGGCAGCCCACCCCCACCATCATCGCCGCCACTCACATTGCCACACCATCACATGGAGGATGAAGAGTTGTTATGGAAGGCTTCAATTGTGCCCAAAATTAAAGACAAGAAATTAATGCAAAGAATAATTCCGCAACCAAAAATTGCATTTTTGTTTTTAGTACGTGGCGCTTTGCCATTGGCTCCTCTTTGGGATAAGTTCTTTCTTGGGTATGAAGGTTTGTACTCCATCTACGTGCATGCTAATCCTGTGTATAATCAGAGTTATTCAAAGGAATCTGTGTTTTTTGGCCGAAGAATTCCTAGCAAGGTACAAGTTCGATCTTGTTCTTTAACTGTTTTTACGTCTTCTTTCGTTTCTTTTTAGTTGTAACATTATTTATTTTTGCGCTATTCACATATTCAACTCAATAAAAGTTAAAACCGGATATATTAAGTTTGCGTATTGTCATAATATTGTGAATTGTCGAGCATTGAATACAAATGCATGAATGTGATGATGAATCGTAAATTTAATTGAAGTTTAAGCGTTTGAGTTTTCCCAGCATTTTATTAGCTGAGGTGTTACATATATAATTAATTATATTGATCATGCAATAATGATATAATTTATGTTGATTTGGAAAATAAATTCACAAGTTTGTACTCGAACACTAGCATTATTGTTTACGCTGCATAATAAATGGTTGAAAATCAGGAGCATTTTCAAAGGAAAGCTTTTAAATCCGTGCATTAATTTTTGGTTTTCCACGTTTTTTTTGGAAAGTTAGTATAATTAGTATTGGAAATTCTCATTATCGTCAATGGACAACCAGCGAGATCTGAGTTTGACATTGCACGATGATTTTTCCAACGTAATATATATAACTATAGACCTATCGATTTGATCATCAAGTTTTAAAATGAAATTAAAGTGATTTCAACACGTCTAAAATAATATTGGCACTCCCACTTATGAGTTGTGACATTGTGACCTGAGTCAAGTACACTAAAATCATAGTGTAGGTTTATCAATAATCAACTTTATTGAGCGAAAAAAACTAATTCTAAGTATAACAAGGAATTGAAATAGGTTATTGCATGACAAAGTTTAGAATTTATGCTCTAAAGAATGATGAGAAAGTATGTTATAAATTTGGAGCTTTTTGTTTATGGTAATTTTGGCATATTCTAGCAGGTAAAGCTATATTTTTCATCAAGGAGTAAAAACTTTTCCATGTACTTTGCTTAGGTTCTACTCTTTTGCACAACTAAAAAAGCAATTTCTTCTGTTTGTCTTTGGAATTTTGGTCGTCCATAGAAGCCCCCCTTGCTTGTTCAATTCCTTTCTTCATTTCAACTAAAATATTCTAACACATGCACTTTTTAACATAATTCATTCATTGAAAGTTAGAATGTGAGCTCCATTAGCAAAGTAAAATGATACATATTCTTATTAATCCCAAAATAGAAATAATTTTATGTTTTCGAGCTTTGTAAAATGCTAAAAATATAACGTTGAAATAATAAAATGTTAAGACAAACTGACTCGCACACTCTGTGTTCATTTACATATGTTTAATTGTTTATATATTAGTATCAATTTTTTTAAATCATGGCTTAAAGTCGACAAAAATTTACGTACATTTGTGTATATGACTTGTGGTTTGATCAATTGTATCAGGAAGTGCAATGGGGCAAATTCAACATGGTTGAAGCTGAACGTCGTCTACTAGCCAATGCCCTCCTTGACCACTCGAACCAACGGTTCGTTCTCCTGTCGGAATCATGCATCCCATTGTACAACTTTTCCACAGTATACACCTACCTTATAAATTCCCAAAAGAGCTACATTGAGGTTTATGACAAAAAAGGCGGTACAGGCCAAGGCCGTTACAGCCTCCGCATGTACCCTCACATTCGACTATCCCAATGGCGAAAAGGGTCTCAATGGTTCGAGATGAGTCGTGAGCTAGCCCTTGAGGTGATATCAGACCGAAAATACTACCCCGTCTTTGCAAAGTACTGCAAGAACTCGTGTTATGGGGACGAACACTATATACCTACTTATGTACACATCAAATTTGGGAAGGAAAATACAAATAGGACAGTTACTTGGGTTGATTGGTCTATTAATGGACCTCACCCTGGTCAATTTCAGAGGCCTAGTGTTACACCTGAGTTATTGGAGAAGTCAAGGACTAAATATACTTGCGAATATAATGGGAAGAAGACTAATGTTTGCTTTTTATTTGCTAGGAAGTTCATGCCAAGCACCTTGAATAGATTGTTGATGTTTGCTCCTAAAGTTATGAAATTCGGTTGAATCTTTGGTTCATACGAAGTATATTGATGTAATAACTATAAAGATATTGTGTTTTGAAGATGAGGAGAGTTGAGAATTTTTTTTATTGAGCCATGATTGTATACGGTTATGTAATGCTCAATACATTCTTTATAAATGAAACCTAATAAAAAATATTGTTGTTATGCTGAGAATTTTTGTATATCGGATGGTACTCCTTCTGTCCCTATATAGTTGTCATGCTTTTTTTTTTTTTAAGGTAAAATAAAAGGCCCTATCGGGTCAGAACCCTTCACGGATCAACCCGGCATGAGTTAGCGAGCTAGACAATTTGGGAGATGGGGGGAAGGTAACATAAGGGAATCCCACCCCCCGAATTGTCACTAGTGGGGATTGAACCAAGGTGCTCTCCTTTCCACTAGACCAAGCTAAGCTTGGTTAAATAGTAGTCATGCTTGCAGTAAATAAATGTTTAATACACACAAAACGTAGATGTTTGAACCCTTCATACCTGCCTACCTGGCTTAGAAAGTTGTTCCAGTAGAGAAGTATGGGCTTTTGCAACAAACCAAGATGTTCTTAAGCCTCCGGAACAGAAACTAATTAGAAAACATCTGTCCCAAATGCTAATATGGCAATTGAAGCTGTAGAGATATATGCTCAATTGCTCACCAATTAACCAGGCAGCCGCAGGTAGTAGGCGACTGACAATGGCTGCAACACAAGAGCGCTAACGCAGGGGTAGCTAATGAGAGTATGAGATGCTAACCCTGTGCTACTGGCCTTGCATTGGGCACTTACGGGAAGTATACATTTAAATATCAGCTATCAAGAAAAAAAAAAACATTACTAGGTTAATAGGTTGGGCACCAGTTGCTGAAGCATTTAATTAAGAATGAAGCTATCAGGATTCAGGACTGTTGCATGGTTTCATTTACAGTGTTGATGCCACAAAGGGAACAAGCTACTTGATTTAATTTAATAACATTATAAAACTTCATAACAATTACTCCTTCGAATCGATGCAGCTCTAATCTGATTAGCATCTGTTATAATACAATAACTCAGTTTATAAACATGGGCAAACAGGATAGCTCTTATTTGATTAGCGTCTGTTATAATACAATTTAACTGAGTTTATAAACATAGGCAAACAGGATAGATCCTTCCTTGATGATCTTGTTTATTTTTGTGCAGCTTCATACTTCGTTTGCCCTATAAATGGGAATCTGACCTTCGCTCTGAAGAGAATCATATTCATCATCAAGCTATCAATTCCTGCAGTTTGTGAGTCAAGCTCCTTAGCATCATTTCAATCTGGCATTAGTTGAGATTTGAGAACCCAACAGACCAAACTTGGCCTTTGACATTGCAAAATTCATAAATAAATTTGGCAAAATTAACAAGGATAATCCCAACTATTGATGTTCTAATTTTGATCTCAATTACGTTTTATCTCTAAATTATCCCAATTACATGAGTACCCTTCTCAAAATAGTCTTCCTTTAATGGTTACCTGTTAAACAAGTTTAAAATGTTACATGTCAAGTTTTTTATTGGCTTGCTTTTTTTCTTTTTTTCTTTTTTTTTTTATAATCTGATTCAATTTGTCTTTACTTTCCTTTTTTAAAAAAAGAAAAATTAGAACTCTTCCTTCTTCTTTGAGACTGCAACACCAAAGCCACCACCATCAATACCCACATAACCACCCCTCCATTGCCGCCGGAAGTACACCCCTCCAAACCATAGTCTAAACTTCATAACATGACTCATGGCCTTAGCATGCACCATCCTCTGTATATGGGTTTATTTGGTGGATGGGTAAAAAGGAGACACATTCTTCAAGTGGGAAAATCAAAACCTTGGTGGCAACCGCCAACTCAATTGAATTAACAATCCCACAAAATCAAAACCTTGGTAGCAACTCAACCGAATTAACTATCCCACAAACCCCACAAACCTAATGCTCCAAACACGAATTAGAGTTTAGCAACAAAATTTCGATTGCTAACAAGCCAAATGACCAAAATTTATCCCACATCATTTATCATTCCAAGAACCAAACAATTGATTACATTGAACTAACTCATCCCTCGATCATTTATTTATTTGATTGTTTATGCATATATACTTGCTTCTTTTTTGGGGTTGAAGATGGTGAATGGTATTTTTTTTTATTTTTTTTTAAATTGAGGTGATTTGGTGAATGGTGAATATAACAAAGTGAAAGTTTAGAGATTCAGAGCAGCCAAAGAAAAAAAAGAAAACAAAAGGAGAGAGAAAGAAAGGCAGTAAGATAAAAGAGTAGATGGCTAAAACAAATTAACTGCTCTTTAGGTGACAAGTCATTTTAGTTGGGATTATTCAGAGTTAAAATATAGTGGGATTAAAATAAGAACTCCAATACTTGTGATTATTTTTATTAATTTTTCCTTTGAAATTTCGAAGGTAATCACAATCAGAACTTCTAGGTAAAAATTAGCTTACCAGGACGGCATATTAGCATACCTTTTGACAGAAGTAATCATTATTTTTTATAGGTGGGTATAGGCACCCCGGTCTCTTCTGTCAGCTTTTGGTATACATTCTGCAACCTTCGTGTCACAGGTCCTACCTGCCCCTCTCCAATCGAACGCCCATCAATCTTCACAACCTGTCAATAAATATCCCATAAAGAATTTACACAACATGGCTCGAATAACTATATAAATTCATGGTGCACTCATGACAAAACTTACAGGGCTAAGTTCACCCATAGTTCCAGTAGTCCACACCTGCAACAAAAATTAGTCACTGAATCAGACATAGAAGGCTGAATCAGGAAGAACAAACAAAATAATAACATTTTTAGAACCACACATAAGAAAATGCATTCATAAGCTTCTTGGCCTAATCGAGACCACATTAGAAGAATTTTGCTTCATAATAAGCATACATTGTAATTTAAGTGCATAAAGATTATACTGAACACCAGATCCTCTGCTCGTTGTCCTAACAGACAACTCTTTGCTGGATGATTACAAAATAATAACCGGTCTATGCATTAACAGCCATAAAATTTAAAACATTTGCCATATGCCCTAGGGTAAACACAAATCGGGATGAGTAGAAAGATGACTGGAAATATTATCACCACAACATATAATTATTTAGGCATGATTATGTGGCGAAAAACAACGTTTGCTACAAAGATTTTCAACAACCGTCTCATGCAGAGACTATAAACCAAATCCAGCTTTATAACATAGCATCATTAAATTACCATACTCCCATTGCTTTCTTAGGTCATATTTCTTGATAGTTAGTTTAAAGTGCTCAAATAGAATACTTAATACTATGAATTTTTAATTTTTAATTTTTCATACATTAAATAATCTAAAAAAAGTATTTGAACAAAAAAAAAAATCATAAGTATGATCCATAGTGCTGATTAATTCCAAGCGCCATAATTCATTTACAAGCTACGATGTATTTGAATAATGCAAACATTACCACTTTAAAAAATAAATAAAAAAAAAAAAAAAAAAAAATCACATTATTAAAACCAAAAACAAAAAATTTAACACCAAATAACATTGACCAGGTATGATTAAAATAGATTATTATGAACTGTCACATTATTAAAAAAAAAAAAAAAAAAAAAAAAAAAAAAAAAAAAAAAAAAAACACTATTATACATACATGTTAGTTGTTCCTTTTCTTGGCCTTTTTTTTCCTCTCTTGGGAATATGATTAGTCAGAAGAGTGTCAGTGGTTTTATCATCCTAGCTCCAAGACCTCAGCGAAGCTCCGGGGGTAGACGGTGCGCCTTGCTAGGGTAGGGTTGTAAGGGTGAGGATTGCAGGGGCAGAAATTTCCAGCCAAGGTATATGGGTGGGATCGCTCTTGGACATAACCAATTGTCCCTCCAATACGAAGTTGCGCCCACAACAGAAGCTCTTATCCATATTATTTTTTAAAGCCTTGAACATTGGAGCAACTGTTTCCCTTTATCTAGATGAGTTGAAGTAATTGTGTCCTTCAAACTTGCGAAATTGTTGTGTAACAAAATGTGGTGAATGATTCACCACACTACTGTAGCAAAACAGTGGATTCATGAGGATCCTAAACATGAATCGAGGACGCAGCTCGTGCCACAACATGTTGGAGGCATAGGGATGCAAGAAATTTGAAGATGATATTCTTTTTAATGATAAATTGACTTTGTTTTCCCTTGTATAAACATGATATTTGTTTGCATCCATATGCCTCATACATGTTGCGGCACGAGCTATGTCCTTAAATCATGTTTAGGACCCTCATGGCCCCTACTGTTCTGCTACAGTAGTGTGGTGAATGATTCACCACATCTTGTAGCACAACAATTTTGCAAGTTTAAAAGCCACAATATGGGCTTGGGATATTTACTTTAACTTCTCAAGGTGAAGGAAAACAGTGGGTCCAATGTTCAAGACTTTAAAAAATATTATGGAAGAAAACTTGTTTTGTGGGCGCAACGTCGTATTGGAGGGACAATTAATTATGTGAGGCAGGAGCAATCCTCACCGTGTAACCTAGGGAACTCCCCACCACTCACCCGTGCAACCCCCATCCCAACAGTGTACCTTAGGGGTTTCCCCCTCCCCCTTATCTAAGGCCCACCACCTACCCCAGAGCCCCGCAGAGGTCTCGGATCTAGGATGATAAACCCCCCGACGCTCACAAATCCGACTAACCATATTCCCAAGAGAAAGAGGAAAAAAAAGGCAAAGAAAAGGGATTCCGACAGGTATGTATAATAGTTTATTTTACTTTTTTTTTTGTTTTTAATAATGTGACTGATCATATGTTTTATTAGTCTACAGTTGAACAATAATTTGACTTAACAATACTTTGTCAAGATTATATTTAGTGTGAAATTTTTACTTAGCTTTTGTTTCTGATTTTTGGTTTTTAATAATGTGACTGACGGGCTAGGTAGCAATAAAGGTAAAGCCTTTGCAAATGATTGTTTTCTTGTTATATTTGCATTATTCAAATACTTCGTAGCTTGTAATTGAATTATGGCGCTTATTTAACGTTTGAAAATTTGAAAATTCATATAGTATTAAGTATTCTGTTAGAGCACTTTAAACTAAATATTAAAACGTATGACCTAAGAAAGCAATGGGAGTTTTGTAATTTAATAATACTATGTTATTTAATGCATACTATCAATATGGTAATTTAATGATGCTATGTTATTTATTTTAATGATGCTATGTTAAGTGCATATCTTGCAAGGGAGACAACGGGGAATTGATTTCTAAAATGATTCAGAAAATTAAAAAATCATTAAAATAAATACGGAGTAATTTAAAAAAAAAAAAAAAGGCATAAGATCAGTAAGCTAGAAATTAAGACCTCATCTGCAGTATGAAATTCTGAGAGACTAAGTCGTCGCTCCTCTAAGACAAAACCTTCCTTCACCACAAGGTCCATGACCTATACATATAAAAAGCCAAATGTTAACATTTTACAAAGGTCAAATAAAACATAATAGCAATGTAGTTAAGTCATAAGTCTCATAATTGCTACACTATTGTGCAACACTACTTATTAAATACGAAGTATGATAAATTTACAATAACTTTTTTGTAAAGGGAAGAGGGGGGGTTATCTCACTCACTCCTCCAAAAGTCAGAATGCACAGTGCACTCAGCATATATATAGATGAAGAACATTCATCAAATTTCCAATTAATATGCACAGTAGAACATGGAGGTAAGCAGTAGGACTCTGTTCGTTTTTTAATATTTGCAATGCTTTGACTTTTGCACTACTCACATACTCTCTTTGACTTTATTTTTTTTTTACTGTTATAAGATGAATAGATGTTATAATGTAATATATCATTGGATTAGCTACAATGTCTATATTCATAACTTCTTTTTTTTTTTTTTTTTTACAATTTTTACTAATAGGCAATTAAAGATATTAAAAGTTATGTCTGGACAGATGTGCCGGTCAAAGGTGATGCAAATATCAAAAACGGCGGAAGTAGTAAACTAATAGCACCTATAAGAGAAGTGCAGTATAAGGTTTATCATATATATTTTGCATTGTGAATGTGTGTTAGGCTTGGCTGAATGGCTGCAACATTATTGGAAGCAAACTTCATCTCCTACTTTATGCCCCTTTAACTTTGAAAACCTCCAGAAACATATAGACCCCCAATAACACTTTTCTAATTTAGACATGCTTTTCTACACTGTCTAAAACTTTCAGTCAAGACTTGAAACTCATAAGACCGTACTAATGTTTTATTTAGATTCTTGTCCTTAATATCAATAATTGATAATAATAACTACGGGTTTTCTTTCTTTTTTTTTTTTTTTTTTTCCAAATTTAGACCACAAAATTAGACACCTAAAGATGAATACATCAGTAATATGAGTATAAGAATAATAAGAAGTATTTATATTAAAAAAAAAAAAATTAAATAAATAAAAAATGATTGTGAAAATTGGTGCATATCAGTTAAATTTGGGTTTTGGACCAAATTAATCAATCTGGTACATTTTTAGGACACCCCAAAAACCACTGAGATACGTACCATAAACATGAGGAACCCAAGAATGAACTTCAGTACACCCCAAAAAGACGAAGACATATAAGTGATGATGATTAAACACATGACTGATTATAGCCAAAAAAAATTACCTCCTGAACCTTAGTCTGTCAACCCACCCATGGTATTCTTTCGAAATTGCACTTGATCTACTAATAGTGAAGAAGCCGCAAATCAATTTATCAGTAACAAGTTATAACACTCTCTTTTCCTACTTTTCCTTACATGAACTCCCCATAAGATACTCTCTAACCATCTATTTCTTACAGGTGCCCTCTCCTGAGTATGTGTATCCATCGTACCAGTAACTACCAAAAAGGAATGGAGATAATACTATATCCTATATATTTATATGTTTACCATTTATAGAGAACAATCCAGAACATAGTGACCAAAAGGTTAAGCCTATGAAACTAGGAAGCAAGTGCAGAGATTGACATGGAAAATACTTAATTGAAATATAGGCAGGAGTAATCCAAGTCAGAGCATCACAGAAAAATCCATTATTTATGCTCAGCTTAAAACATGCTAAGATGAACTGCATCCAACATGCTTTTGGGGGGGGGGGGGGGAGGTGGATTACACGACTTACAGTAGCTCGAGTTATTCCAGGAAGACAGTAGTCTGCATGGGGTGTCAAGACTTTGCCTTTTTTCACCATGAACTGCAAGATGAAATTTAAACAAGCTTATATAACAGCAGACTGTATATCAACAATTCAACATAAAGTACATCTTTTGCCAGAAAAGTAAACATTTTATTTTATAGGCAAGGGCCCACATCCAGGAAGGAGGGATTGGTAAGGGGAAGAGTTCCTGCATGCATAGGTGAGAACACCCATCACGAGTTGTGAAAACTTTTGGAATTACCAAAAATCCAGTGCTCCCCAGGAAAATTTGTCGTATTTGCAACCAGAGCTTCAGAAAGCATAATTATCATTAATTAAAAAAAAAAAAAAAAAAAAAAACATCTTTACATCCAGATGGACATGCATATTTAATCTGGTGATGGAAATTTTTTAGGTATTCGCACATCCATAATTTGCATATAACAGCCATATGATCCACATTACAAGTTACTACATATGAGAAATTTTGTGAACTGTTCGTCTGCTTCCAAATGTGAATGGACAACCTTCTTTCTTTCATTTTGGGGTGAGAGAGGTGTGGGACATCACAAAGAGCCGCCATTTAGAATTATCTATATTTTTTTTTTTTTTTTTTTTTTTGAAGGTGAATGGAAGTCAAAATAAGTAAATAGATAGAAAAACAATCTCACAATATTTGTTGCATTTGTTTCAGAAACATATCCATCCTTGTCAAGCATTATGGCATCATCAGCATTTGCATTGTTCCCTTCTATCTGCATAAAAAATGGGCTACTTAAACTTATACATCTAGGAAAAAAAAATGCATTCAGAACCATCAACAATTTTGTAAGCCCTAAGCCCCTAACTCATGCAACGCAAAAAAAAAAAAAAAATTATAAAACAGTAGAAAAACTTTATGAGAATTATACGGGATCTTGATGATGTCATTGGTGAAGAACTACAATTATTGCAATTCATGCAAACAAAAGATACTACCTTTGCAAGTATGTTGTTCAGCAGGTTGTTGTGGTGGATCTTTGAATCCAAATTCTGCAAATCCCATAAAATAGAAAGGTCACATAGATTGTATATACATTGCTATCAGCTTGAAACACTTGCAACTTTACATCTATACGAGCCAAATTTGTCATTTACATACATTATAAATTGAATAATCTAATTTAATAATTTAGTTGACTTGCAAAGCTTTAAAAAGATATAATAACAAATAATAAAAATCTTAAATCTCTCATCATAATCAATTGATGAAGATACATGAATATGTACTTATCACAAGGCCTAAATGCCCTGAAAACATTACAAAGTAATTAACAACATGAAGTTTCATGCATAACCTTGTAATTTTTTAATATCATGTTTGCCTAGTAAGGAGACAGCCATGACGATGATAGAACCAGAAAAGGAGGACCTAATAATCTTAACAGTCGGTACCAAAAAAATGAAAATGCCTGTCCAAAAGAGCTCATTATGAAAACTGAAAAGAATAATTTATTGAACGTGTTAGAGGAGCAGTATACTGGCAAGAGTATTCAGCACTTCAGCAGTCAATAATGCTGGGGCCAAAACTGATCAGCAGAGCTGCCATCATCATCCAGTTCAAGTTTATATTGCTTCTACAAACTATATCACAAAGGCCTATAATACTCCATTCTTATGTTGTAAATGCAACATATAACTTGAAACATAGACCCTACCACCAGAAAGCCGAAAATATGCATGTAAACTGGATAAGCAAAGCTCATATTAAAACACACTCAAACAGTAACTACTTTAAGAACAAAAGAAAGCAGAAGTCTTACATTTGGAGAATTACGGCGGGTTGTAGCAGTAACTAAAACTACACCCTTGGTGTTATCATAGACAGGTGGCTTCCATTCTGCAAGAACTACAAAAATAAAATAAAATAAAATAAAAGGAGAGTAAATGATTAGTCCTTAATCTTGGATAATGGAAGCTACACATTGAAGGCTCTCATTCTAAAAGACAATCTTTAGAAGAACGAAGAAATAAAATACATGTTTCATAAACATAACATTATTGATACAAAAAAATGCGACCAATTACTCTTGCTATGAGTGCAGTGAGCAAACATGAGGTCTGAGTACTACTCTCTCTATGCCACAAAGTTCCTTACTTGCCTAAAATGTTAAAACTTTGGCTCACACAGTTTTCAAAAGAGTGACAAATATTATGTGATGGAGAGGGCAATCAAACCTATTGCACACCTCAGAACAACTGTCCAAAGACTGACACTTGGATCACAATTTTATAAGATTCCTACCATGACATCACTTATCAACAGCACTTCTGTCGTCGGATGAGGCAAATATAAACTTCAGTATGCAAGGCTCAACATGGTGATACACACAGGGAGACAGGGAGTAGTCAAGTTCATGTTATTAGTTGTTGATGTAAAAAATTTAGGTTGCTCAATGGACTTCTCCATACACTTATCTAAGCTAGTCAAAATTTCAAAAAGAGTACTAAGCTAGTAGAGCTACCTATTAAGGTGCAGCCATAAAGATTGAAAGCAGGACTCATTCCAGAAGTCACCTGCACATATCCAGAGAACAGTTTTTCTTCAGTAAAAATAGAGGTGCATCAAAAGCAGAACCAGAGCATCTAACGTCAATTAAGAGTTTTGGACAATATAAATCTAATTCTGCCAAGCCTAAAGTTTTGAAGCAGTAAAATTACAAAGGAAATCTTTTCAAACATTACACCACCATGTCTCAATTGCAATCGTAATTACACCACAGAGAGGTGCTAAGTTGGTTGAAAGTGTATCCCATCTACAGTTGCTAAGAATACAATCCTAGAAAGCATTCCATACAAGATTAGTAGCTATGATCCTAAAGTTGACAGCTACGTTGTCTACAAACTATCTCAACTTAAACATCTACACAACAAAAGGTTAAAGAAGAAGAAAAAGAAATTACCTTCTTGCCGCGAGTTAAACTTAGCCGTATATGAGAATTATCAAACATGCCATTCCTAATAAGAGTGGTGAAGATAGCTTCCTTGACCTGTTATAAAAAGCCTGTAAAATTGCCAGATATTGAAAGCAAAAAATTACAGAAACAAAAGGCCCTTGGAGAATGTTTAAATAGTTCCACCACAGCCACCTCACCTGTTCACGTGTTGGAACATTGCTGAAAGCCAGGGCTTTTGCTGAGTCAAACAGTCTGAAGAAGATTTGTGTGCCAAACAAGTAAAAATATTACATGAAGTGGTGGAAACAAAAGAAAAAAGAAGCAATAACAGTAGCCTATTTACCATGAATCTAACATATATCTACATAGCCAATGTAACATATGAAAATAAGGATTGGCTAAAGCAAACATAGAATGTATCAATGTTACAATAATACAGCAAATTTCTACCTACAAAAAGCTTAAGAACAAAATCAGGAATGAAATATGGGGATCAACTTTGCTCACCTGGGATTCATTGAATTATATTGTTTTTAAGGCATGATACAGGGTTGATGGATATATCAAAGACAAAAAAGATAACAAGGAGGTAACACAGTCTCCAGAAAGATAATATTCAATGAATAAAAAGATTGTCATACTGAACAAAATGATCACGTCCAACGTCAGTCAAGCTACAGTCATGTTCATTAATCTGATCCCCAAACAGAGAAAAACCTACATACTAATAAGGCAACCATGGCTTAATCTGAGCACAGTTTTATATGGTGACTTCCCCCCTTTTATATAAGTATGTTAATATATTCAAAGAACTCTAATGACAACATGTATCATTTGGAAAAATATAGTAACTACCAAATCAGTTAAAAAGTAGATTGTCTGTACTGACCTATCCAAATGCTCCTCAAGCTTGAAAATTTTTCCTTTGTATATGCGGAGTCCTTCCCAAACAGAATCACCTCCTTGTACCACTGAGTCTAGAACTGAAACCTTGAAAAGGCAATAATACAAGAACAGGCAGTTAACACTTATATTGTTAACACACAAACAAAATGTATAAAAAAGAAGCTATCCCTGAAAGCCCCAAGTGTTACAAAGCAGAACACGATTTACCTTCGCACTATCACGAGGTAGAATCTCATCACCAACCCATGCAAGTAACTTCTCATTCGCTGGAACAGGAAGACTTGGAGGGGGCAAGGGTGAGCTAAGAAGGGGATATGACCGCTTAAGACGACGCTTGAGAAAGTTGTAGAAGGGTAGACATTGTTCCAGCAAGTCATAAAGAGAAGAAGGGAATGTCTGATACATGAAAGCAGAAATAAATTACAAAAAGAAAAGGAAACACAAAAAAAGGTTAACAACAATAACAATTAACAAATCCATCAGCTTCTGTCTCCAGCCACGTAAGAAGTGAAACTAAATTTCATTCTCAAATTTTTTAGTTATCCTATCTCCCACCCAATGAAAGAGGAAATTTAATATGAAAATCCTTAAAGCTAAAATTATCAAAAAACATATTACTATCTAGTCAAGCCAAATTGAACTTTCAGGATAATTATCTACTGGCTACCTTGACTTTATCTCCAAACCACGAAAATGGAAATTAGCATGATATACACTGACATGAATATACAAAACCTATAAACACTCATCAAGTTCTTCCTTGACACAAAATTCTAGAGAGCATTTGTAAGGACATTATTATGACAGGACATCAAAGATGCATCTGGGAAGTTGATAGGCTCAGAGTTCTCAGACAATTACAAGATGAAGATAGGGCTGATAGAGTAATAGGTGACATAATTTTAAGACAAGTAATGAAGACATGTAATAAAAGTCACAAAGGGGATGTACTGTCACCCATATACAACAAGGAGCCAAGGTAAAATAATTAAGTGCCCTCAAGCTATCATGCGACAATTTGTCTACAAAATCAAGCAAAGTCCAGAATTGCTCAGGATTATACAATAGCTCGAAGGAAAGAAAAGGAACTTAGATCTTCCCTTAGAAATCCTATAGTTTTTTTCTTTTGAAGTGCACTACAAAATTGTTAATGGAATTTTAGATACTGCTATTATGTTGGAACTAATAATCCATCTGTATTGTTAAATAACTCATCATCTGTGTTAAAAATTGAAGCAAATCTTTGACACTAATTTCAACCCCTCAAATGATTGCTTTCATTAAACTTCCAGAACTTTGATGTTACATTTCTTAGAAAGAAAACACCGACACAAGTTTTATAATTTTCAGTAAGTAAAGAATGGGTCAACAAAACCTTGGGATATCTGTGTTCTGTTTTGAAACCAGTTGATTTATGCACACTTTCATACCACCATGGAGCCCAGACACCGTCTATGTTCTTTGGACCAGCATTCCATCTGATGAAAAAAGAAAATTATTTAAATTTTGACTACCTATAAACTCAAAACCACAAAATTAGCCCAAAAGAAAAAGAAATTAATATGCATGTGCTTTTTATTTATGAGAAATCATATGCAGTAAGCCAAAAGTGAGGCTGGGATTGGAGGTGGATTTACAAGCCTTAAGCATAGAAATGGAACTTGAGAGGCCAATCTGGTAAGAGTTAAATGCAATAAATCCATTAAACTTTAATTCATAACAAAACTAGACTAATGGTATTGAGCAACTTGTATAAAACAGAGGGAACATCTGCATATACAAGACTAATATGATTCACTATTAACTAATTCCCAAGCAAGGCCAAAGACATTAATCTCATTGAAGGAAGTGCTCTAATACAGCATTTGTAAATGGAAAAAATTTCAGTAATTTTTTGACAATCAAATAAGATATAGCCAAAGAATTTAAGTAATTAACTAACGATCTGAAATTCATGGGTCTGATGAGATGAAATGCCTAAAATATTCTCCTTCACAAAACACTACAGCTATATGAACAGAGGACCAGAAGAGTTCATGCATGTTTCTCACTTGAGCATTGCAGGCTGAAAAGGAATATTCAGGTCCTGGCAAAGACCACGTAAAGCATCCTACAGAAACAAATCACAAAGACACCAATTTAAATTAAAGATGAAGAAATAGGAAGCAAACTTCCAACAATCAAACAAGACATTCTCATAACAACTTGAGAGCCAAAATTGAACCTTATCTTACCAAATAACCAAAAAAGAAAATAAAATACACATAACATTGCAAGTAAACTTTCACCAAATACTGAATACACTTATGAGCTTTATATACTCCCACATACTGTAAATTCAGTTATATACTGGGACACTAAAGATGATGCTAGAGTTTATTACGGAATATTTAAGCAATCTTTTCTTTCACAAAAAAGCTTATTTTAGTAATCAGCCAAAACACCAGCCACTATTACAACCATTCAACACCTTACTTCCTTCATCTGTACAAGCGTACACAATGGAAATTAAAGAAGTACAACGACACAAGGTCGAACAAAATATGATGTGCAGTAAGAAAAGTCGTTAGAACAACATACGATGTAAAAGATTTTATAATCCATCATGGACAAACCTTTAATAAAAATTAAAAAAAGTAAACATCAGAGCAATATAGCCATATAGGAGCATAGTATAAGATCAAACTAGAAGATATGGTTTTAAGTCCGTCATTTATCATTCATCTGTGCAAAGCACAATTTTAGAAAAAGAAAGTGCACTATATATTCTACATGCAAACCAAATATCTCATGATTAAAATACTACTGAAAAGTTTGAACATTAACCTCTGGATCTCGTTGAAGATCTCCAGCATCAATGACAGCAGGCGGATTTCCTAGATCACAGAGCTCACTGTATATGGTGACGAGAGCAGCTAAACCAATCTCGAGAAAAGTTGGGGGCACAACCTTGTCAAAGGATGACTAAGAGTGAAACATACAGATAGTTAGCACATTTAATAATAAAACAATTATTAGTAGAGATGCAAAAACAAATTTCCTACAAGTAGCTATTCAGGCACTTCACGTGATGATGATTTATGCATACACACTACTTCAGAGAAAATTAAACAGATTTTCATATAAAAAACAATGAGAACTCACCAGAACATCCATTGGATTTCTTATTAATATGAAGTGCTTTCCTTTCTTCATCAAATCATCTGGCAAGCCAGGTAGCAGTTGTTTAGACATGTGCTGAAACCAAAATTAGGCTATTTTCATATACAAAAAATTGCCCTAAGCTTCAGCAAGTGTTCAAAAAAATATAGTGCTACAAACTATCATTTGGTGAATCTTCCAGATGATCAAGGCAGCCACCTTTGCTCTAGTATCGAGTATAGACTATACCAAAGGTCTAAATATTACAAGATGATAAAATGATCAATGAAGTTTCATCATATCCATGTACAGATGTACTATTTAGTAGGGTCTAATGGATTTCCTACATTCATTAAAAAAGGCATCATTTCTTTGTCAAACAAATTTATACGAGATATCAACAAGAAATGGTAGTAATCAAATAACAATAACTATAGCTAGTTTCAGCTAAGAATGTGGATAAAATGGATGTAAATTACACAGAAAGAAGTGATATCCTTGAACACATTAGCAAAAAAAAACTCTTTGTCAAATGGTTTGGAATGGAACCTCACTCGAAGCTTATATGTCCTCAATTATAAGGCCTTGGTATTTGGATTCACATGATACCAAAGTGGTTCACTCTTCGGTCATGCAATAGCTCCTTGACACAACTTAATTCTTGTACTTCCTCAGTCCCAATTTTTTGTTTGTTTCAATTTAGTTTGCTCCTTCCTATTTTTGGCAAGGGCCTACTAAATTATTAAATAATTCTTTCTTAAACCACTAAAAGTTAGGACCCCACCCTCTCTCTCATTCAATTAAGATAAATAACCCAGTATCTTTCGTCACACCTACTTGATGTGAGAGTGGTGTGTCAAGCATGCACGTACAACAAAATTATTTCCTTAAACATGTTTAGAAACCAAAATAAAGGTCACTACTTTCACAATATCTTTTATGTGACATTCTTAAAAGTCATCAAGCGCAACTAGAAATGAGATAATTACCTTACAAAAGCGATATTTTTTATTTCCAGGAGCATAGATGATCTCATTCACAACCTTTTCCCCATCAGATTCCTATTAGCAATAAAAAATACAATAAAACATGTTAGAAGTAAAGAATAAGTAATAAAAGTTTCATTTGGTTTTGGTGTGAAATTAGTGATTATACGTAGCACTTTTTTACCATTACATACCATGTTTGACAAAACCTCCTCCCGGTAAGGCCGCTTTGCACCAGTAACTTGAAGAAAGTTCGCATAAAGGGGTTCATCAAGCACGTCAATATCATCCCGCTATAAAAAAAACGACAATTATGATAAATAAAGCGAACACTAGACATTATAATTAATTAGCACTAGTTCATATACAGCACATAAAATAGCCCCGGCCACACACGCGATCGAGAAAGGAATGTTGAACCCCTTATAATAATATAAGCCCGCGTAAGGTTCCATCACAAAACCATGGCAATGGAGGAGTAACTCTGTAAACTTAAATAATACCCTCCGTAACACCGTAACTACAAAGTAATTAATCTTTCCTCTTCTCCAAAGTATTCAATTGTCCCAAAACATAATGACATGAAATTGAACAATTAGCTAATTTGCACACACAAAACCTAGGGAAAATCGCTTATACTATAATCATTTCAGCATTTTTCTGGTAACAATTATGACATTAACAGATCAAAAGAATTGAACATTTTAAATAAATCATGCAAAATTAATTAAATTACAATGAATTATAACAATTCATGAAATATAATTGCGCAGAACACAGAAAATGATGAAAATGTGAAGAAATAAAAAGGGGTGAAAATGATTGATTACTTGAGCGAAGGAGTACATGAGACTTGTGCTGAGAGATCGAGGAGCAGACCATGAATGAATCACCTCAACTTCCGCCATTGATGAATGCTTCGTCTTAGTTAATGACGATGATTTCTGATTGTTTCAATGTTTGGAATTGCTGGACCCGCTTCAGTTCATGACAATTATTTTGAGGCAATAATCAGATTCACCTATTTTGTCATTTTGTTTGAAGTTATATCTGAATTTATTACCGTTTGACTTTTGTGTAATTGACAAAGATCAACAGTCGAAGATCAAATATTTTAAGGTAATATTATCTCCTTTTCATATTTTTTGTAATTTTGGTTATTATCTGTGAGATATAAAATATTCTAAATTTGCAAAAAATATAAAATAGAGGTAGTATGTGTAACTACTATTTCGTATTTTAATTTTAATAAATTTTAATGTAATAGTTGTTTCGGGGTTTTCTGATGTCCTGCGGGAGAGTTACAATTCCGAGACTGGAACCGGACGCCTGTACCTGCAAAACAAACGGATGCTCCGGATGATTGGAGATCCGCCTCCGACGGTCAAGTTAGTACTTGATTAAGGAGTAATTAATGCGGAAATTAAAGTGATTGGGTCTCTCTAGGTGAGAGTGTTTAATGTGTGTAATCTGCTTTTTAGCGTTATCCCCCTTAATGAGGATTAAGGGAGGTATTTATAACCTCGGGAAACGTGTCAATCTAGGTTTAGGTTAACCTTGGGCTGATTGGGCTTCCCTCGGAAGTTGGGCCTAGGTGACCGGTTATCCCAAGTGTCATGGGAAGGACACGTGTCGTGTCGTAATTGGTCCATAGTGGACGGATCATTTCTTGACACGTGGCAGGCTCCTATTGGCCCATGTGACGGACACATGGCGGAGCCTGATTGGTCCACTTGTCAGATGGTGATTGGTGGGGAAAAATCCCCTAATCATTTGCCCCTCACAGGTGGCACGTGACTGGTCACGTGTTACCTGTGACAGGTATCGCCCTGTAACAGGCGACGGCCTGCTACAGGTGTCACTCGGCGAGAGGCCGAGAGATTCTCCCGCCAAAATTTTAAATTCTGGAAGTGACCCTTCGCCTTCTCACTTCGCCTATATAAAGGAGTGTTGACTTCGGTCATTTTCACACTTGAAAACTTTGTGAGAGAACATTCGGACCCCTGAACTTGCTCTGACATTTTGGACCCTTTCTGCCTACCGCCTGCTCTGACAAGCCGACTGCAAGGGATTTTCAGAACTTCATCAATCGTCACTCGTTCAGGTAACCGTCGGTTCTCTTACTCTTAATTTTCTCTTTACTTTATTCTTTTTTGAAATGGCACCACGGAAGCACACGACACGACCTAGGTTAGTGATCAGCCGGTCACCGGGGACGGCTGAATCTAGGACTAGGAGTGCCGCCTGCCCTTTTCTGGACCCATCTTTGCCCATTATACAAAGTCCGACTGTATCTGTGTCTATGCAGAGCATGATGGCCAGAACAAAAAAGACTGCCAGGATCTCAAACTCAGACGACTCCTCCCACAGGGTGCCGATTAGTGAAACATCTGACCAGGCGCCAGATGTGGAAGTGAAACAAAGCGGCTTGAAAGCCGGCAGTTCTGAGGGAGGAGTCAAAGTGACCCCTTCCCATTTTACAGTTGACAATTCTTCATTCTCTTCTGCTCCTTTTAAAGGAGAGGAGGCGGGCCCCTCCGGGAGAGGGGAAGAGTCGTCCTCTTCGGACTCGTCAGAGGACGATTCCGAGTCTAGCTCTTCTGGCCATGCTTCCCTGGACACAGAAGAGAAAAACAGTCGCCTACAAGAGGCGAGGCTTTCTCACGTAGTTGAGAAGGGGGACGATTGGGCGGAGCCATCCGCCTCTCACCGAGAGCAAAATACCCCCTACTACTGCACGGTACCTCGGGGCCGGATCACGGCCATGCAAGAGAAAGTGGAGAGCTTTATCGCAAACCACACAATGGGCCCCGGCTTTTTAGTGTTCGTGCCGGATCCAGAAGACACAGTCGTATGGCCGGCTGGTACCAGTTATGATGGCGCCTTCTTTGGCTGCTACGAGGCGGCCATCAAGGCTGGGCTGCGCTTCCCACTACATCCAGCTGTTCAGCGGATCTTGGATGGGTATGAGTTGGGGTTATGGCAGTTAGCCCCGAACTCCTGGGTCAACGTACTCGGCTATGTGGCCGGGTGCGAACTGCACGGGGTGGAGCCGAGCTTCGAGGCTTTCGCCCACATGAACTACCTCAGTCGGACCCCTAAGGCAGGCGGTACCGGCTGGTATCAATTGACGAGCCACAGGGGCTACCTCATGACGAGAGGTAAAGCAAACAAATGGAAGGACTGGCGGAGCACCTTCCTCATCATTGAGAGTTCAGACACAGAGCTGAACAAGCGCTTCAAAAGGTGGAACAGGAATCCGCCCCTTCTTGCAGGCGGCCGCAGCATGTCGCCTGTTCCCCCCAAGGCTAAGAAAGAGATCCTAGATAAAGGACTCTTCAAAGTAGAGTCGAAGGTGAACTCTTCTTCAGGGGTACGAGAGCAAGTACCCCTGCACTGCGTCCCGAGCTTCAAATGGCTCTACGACGAGTACTTTTTGGCCGCCTGTGGCCTCAGCAGTCGGTGCTCAAGAGGTAGCCGGCCTGTCGAATACTCTGTTGTTCCGTGCATTTCTTGTTATGACTTTTATTAACTTTGCTATTTGTTTTTGCAGCGGACGCCATGAGCAAAATTACCGCCTCCAAGACTGCGGCGGCCATGTTGCGGGCCTCCATCATGCAACAGTCTTCAACCGACTCCCCCAACAAGGGGGCACCCTTGGTGGGCTTCGAACCTTTCACCCTCTTTTTGGAGTTGTGTTTATGCATATACTGACTCTTTTCTTCTTTTTTAGACGGGCGCTCCAAGAGCTTCTTCTTCCCAACAGCCGGACCCCAAGGCCCGGAGGACAACTGTTGCGAGCTCTCCTGGTTCTGCCAGGAAACATGCGGCGGCTGAGAAACAGCCGGCCACTTCTTCTAAAACTCCAGCTGGGCCACCTAGAAGTATGAAATTGTCCTTGTAAATTTTAGACTTGCTCCCTTCTTTACTAGGTCTAATCCGTTTGTTTATGCTTGATGCAGCCGGCCCTCAGGAGCCTGACTTGGTCGAGGTGGCCAAGTCTATGATCAAGGTCGTTCCTCCAGCTGAAAGGGAGGCGGTCAGGGGTGTCGGCACCCTTGACCTAGACGGGATTGCAAGGGTCCTTGCTGAGGTATACTTAGCATATTTTTGAGTATTTGAATTCCAGGACGCTTGTTTTCTTTTGGTTTGGAAACTGACGCCTGTTCCCCTTTGTACTTAGGCCCTGCTCCGAGTGAACGGCCTTCGCAAGCCGCTTGACCGGAAGAACAAAGAGGTAAAGGCTGCAAAAGCTATGGCCGCCTCTGACTGTGATAAAGCAATGTTTCAAATTGCCCAAAATGAAGTTCTGACCATTGATATTCTTTATTATCAGGCGCAGGCTACAGCCGCTATCCGGGCTCAGTTAGAGGTGGCCCAGAAGAGGAATAGCGAGCTGGAGGCGACCATCAACAACCTCAAGGCCGAGCTGAGACCTCTTCGCCAAAAGATGTCCTCATACGAAACCTTGGAGAAATCCTTGGCGAGCGTAAAGGTACGCCTGGTGAGATGATGGAAGACTCTGCTCAAATCCAGCGCATGACTTGGGGCCGATCAGTCGGTCATTTATCCAATCGGTATTCGAACCATTTTAAAGACTGGATCCCCTTTAGGCAGGCGGTCCTGTCATTTGTAAAATTAACCAAGTAGGAAAGTGGTTTGACCAAGTAAACATGATTGTTACCTAGTCGCCAAGTAACTGAGTAGTAGAGGTATCAAGCGGTTGGTACCTAGCAGGAGTAGTGGTTGAGAGCCCCTGTTTGCTAAAAACAGGCGGATGACTCATACCTTTTAGGCTCCATACTAAGTTTGAGAGAGTGACTATGAGTTAACTTTGGAGTTACTCAGTCGCCGTCACTCCTGCTTGAGTAGTAAAGGTACCAAGCGGCGGAGGCCGGCTGAACCTTTTAATTCGCAAATGTTTGTTGGCTATTAACTCAAGAGGTACCCCCTGCATTTATCCCAAGTAATACAGGCGGTCATCTGACTTAGATGTCAACTGCTACCACTGGTTTGGTTAGTGATAGAGTTATCCTTGTCTCAAAAACGGCTACGTGGTTGCCCTTGGGGGCAGTCGTATAGGTGCCGTGTAATTAGTTTATAGAGCAATGTTCCACCCAAAAGGGAGCTGCTCTCTGCGACGAATTTCATCCGGAGGGATGCCGCCGGACGCCTGCTAAGATGTTGGGACAGGTCGTATTAGTTTTGAAGATTGGATCAGTTGGCTTGGCGCCTGGTCTGATCATTCGGCCTGTGGCCTTGGTTAGTTCTTGGTGAACGTAGGTGCTAAGTAAAAGGAGGGTAGCCGCCTGTTTAGGCACAGGGTCGGCCAGGCCCTGATCATTTTTAGTTAAGTATAAGGGGGGTGGCTGTGTGTTTGGAATCAGTCGGCCCTCTTCTATGGAGAGTAGTCGACTATATGTCCAGACGGCGTGCTCCTATGAAGATAGAGTAAAATACTCAATGGAGAGTAGCCGACTGTAAAGGTACAGACGGCATGCCCCTCTGAAGATAGAGTAAAATACTCAATGGAGAGTAGCCGACTGTAAAGGTACAGACGGCATGCCCCTCTGATGATAAAGTGAAATACTCAATGGAGAGTAGCCGACTGTAAATGTATAGGCGGCCTGCCCCTCTTAAGTAAGAATAAAAATTAAACATGGAGAGTAGCCGACTGTTTGTCAGCAGGCATGCCCCTCTTAAGTAAGAATAAAAACTGAGTATGGAGAGTAGCCGACTGTTTGTTAGTAGGCGTGCCCCTCTCAGTACAAAATTGAATATTAAGTGCAAACTTTTATTAAGTAGCCCTTGACTATTTACATCATTCAAAAGAAATATTTCTTAAGATTATCTACATTCCAAGTTCGAGGCAACGGTTGTCCGTCTGGTGTTCCTAGACGGTAGGTACCGTCCCTGACCTCTTCACAGATTCGGTAGGGTCCTTCCCAGTTGGGAGTTAGTTTGCCAGACTCATTAGCCCTACCAACTGCTTCCATTTTTCTAAGTACAAAGTCCCCC